TTCATCTTCTTCTTACCCTCTCTCTCCTCTCTCAAGTTCATTCATTTCTATTTGCAATTGGATGGCATTGTACTTTCTGATCTTTGTATACTTCGCAATTGGCCAGGATCGTAACAGTGGATGATGTTTTCTTGATCGTGATTGGGGAAGACTAGACATCTATCTGAGCTGTCGTGGTGAGTTTTTTCTTCTCCTTATGCGGAACCACTCATTGACTTGTAGTAGTACGACATATGTTATTTTAATTTATTACTGATCAACTATGGCTGGGCTTGAATCTTTTCCATGTTTTTTTTTGCAGTAATTGTGTGGTGTGACTGGTGTCACCTCCTTGCATTTTGGCCCATCTATCTTGGATTTGCTGGTAGAGGTTCCTTGGTCCTTGGAAATAGCCTGTAGCCTAACTTGGCAGAGTAATCAGATATGGAGATTGGGGGTTGTTGTCTGCTCCCTGTTCCAGGTCCCCATGCCTGTTCTGCGGGTTTCCCACACTTGGCCCTCACTTTTTGCACCTGGAAGGCTTCTTTTGCTATCAATTCAGGGTTCAGGTTTGTGTTAGCGGCCGTGACTTTTGGATTTCAGTCGATCGGAAAGGTTGTGAACACAGTGTGGTCTCCTGGGCTAGCACGCCCCTTTCTCCGTCTTTCCACATTTTGCCTTCCTTCATCAGATTCTTCCAATCATCCAGGATAACTATTGCTTGGGGGTTGCGATTTAGATTATGGAAGCCTTTCAATTGCTTTCTCAGCTTTTACAGCTTTATGCCGTCTACGGTTCTGTCATTCTAGATATGGCTGATTCTGTATACTCTTTTGGTGACCCATGTAAGCCAGCAGTGGTCCCTTTGTCTCACAAACCTCGAGTGGTTGCCTTCAGTCCTCACCCAAAAGTCTCCAATGAAGTGGGGCTTATTAGAGAATCCTGTTCCTATCCAACGTATATATAGCTTGGCTAGCCTACCTCTTTCTCTGGTGTCGATCGAGGCGCGTTAGCGGAATTTCCCAGTTTCGAAATCTGATATTGTATTATGAAAGCTTTAGACGCAAGGCCCAAAGAGTGGTTGTCTCAGGACTTCT